TAGCACATTTCTGTAAACAGAAGTCAGTTTTTCCAGCTTACTTAGGCCACGTTTGCACTAAATATTATTTTGAACTTATTAGCGCTTTAACACATGCCAATTAATATGTCCACGCTACAGGGAAACCTTGAAATTAGTCGATGGCATGCTCTATTACTGACGTGAATACTGAGTTAATCTGTACACAGACAAATCACCCGCTCCCTTTAGTTTAAGCAATGGCAAGTGTTTTGAGCTATAAACAGTAAAGGCGGGTTTTTCCATTAAAAAGAGAGGACACACAAATGCTTGCTGCCCTTTAAATGAAAGCAGTTGGAAGGGCTCATTTCTCCCCAGCTCCCAGGCCATACACCAAACGCTGCAAGGTCTATTGGTATTGAACTAGCTTGCAGCTCTTGACCCCCACCCGCCACACATGCGTTGCTTTGTGGCCGCGAGGAAGCTATAGGCTCAGAGTGGGCCGGGACAGGAGCTGCTTTGTGGGCTAGATGAAAGAACTAGGTGGGCCAGATTTAGTCCGCTGCTCGTTTCATGCTCAGAATTGAATTATGACATAGAATCCTAGTCCAGTTAGGAGTTTATTTCAAAATAAAGCCAAATTTATAAGCGAGAGTTGTTATTAGCAAGACTATTATTTCAAACTAAAGGTCTGCAGAATTTGAAAGGCGTGCTCCTACTTTTCATCAGGCCACTACCGACCTCGTAGGGCCAACATTACGGTAGTGCGCTTGGTCCAGTGTTGCTTTTTTTAAAAATACTTTCGCCTCAGAGAGAAAATATTTTCTGAGAGCGAAAGCTCAAGTACCGTCCCCTTTGGCTCAAAATGAAGAGTTATATTGGTTTTCTTTTGAACAAGTTTTATTAAATGCCATGTTCATTTTATATGGTTTCCTGAAGCACAGATGCAAAGCTTGCCATAGCCAGTCGCTGGAGGAACTGATGGTGCTAGAACTGAGGATGCTGTTAGTGTGCTGCAGACTGTTTCAGGAAGAGGGTAGGCGAACGCAGCCTGTAGTTCGCATGACTCTGTGCGAAACTAATATACATAATCAATTTTGTATCTGGTGAGAACATTATTTCAGATTTGCTCAGGTAGCATTGACCATTCAGACGTGTGTGTGTGTGTGTGTGTGTGTGTGTGTGTGTGTGTGTGTGTGTGTGTGTGTGTGTTTTAGAACCTGCTGCGCTCTAACATTTCAAGGTGCTGTGTATGGACCGCACAGAGTCTGGAACAGAATGTGGGTTCCACCTGCTCTAATAATGCATCTAAATAATAATAATAGACATAAAAACAAATAATCATTGTAGAAATTAAAAGCTAAGATTAGCTCTGGGACATCTTGGTTCACAATTGTGAAAAGTTGCTCACAAAAAACAGGCTAACTAACGCAAAAAGTCTTAGTCATCTGAGTATATGCTCATGAAGACGTATGAGAATGCTAATAACTTTCTTCTTACCAAGTGAAAGATTCATTAACATTTCTTGCGTTGGAATTTAATACTAGAATCTCTGCTGGTTATGCAGGTAAAAACCTGGGCGGGGGGAAATGCTGAATTGTCTTTGACCTATTTTATGCTTATGTATGCAGTGTGGGTAAATTAGTGGCACTTTTTTACTGAATGGTTCCACTGGAGTGTAAGGATGTCAGTGTGCTGGACAAACATCGTGGTGAAAGACGATCAACATGCCGCTGTCCTTAGCGCAGACAGCCCATACTTTAAAACCATGAATAGTTTGCATCACAAACTTGCTTGAAGGTCTTTTCCAAAAGGCTTTCTGGGAATCTGAGCACCCAATTTTTGTCGAGCTGGCAATTTTTGTCGAGCTGTATTTTTAGTCTAGCTGCAATAATCGCAAGCTGTGGCTTTTAGCTATCGATACTGTTACTAAAAATATGCCAAACTAGAGCAAGTTGTATAGCTATCAATGTGTGGCAGTATTTTTAGGTTTTGCGGCGTTCAAATGTTAGTGACAATGCACGATAGAATAACAGGTCCATTTTTTAAAATTTTGTAAACACTAAATAACTGAAGAATTCCAAAGGACTTTTCCATCTGTATAATAAACTCCTAGAGAACACGTATTCCTAGGAGATAGGATAAGTAAAAGAATTTCTTTTTTTACTTTTAATAGCAAACCGCTTGAAATAACGATACGTCCGAGCTTAAAATATTTCTAGCGTTAGTGATTATTGTTGCAGTTTTCTAGCTAGCATGTAATGAGGAGACGGTACTATGATGCAAGTGGCAGTAAAGCATATTACAAAGTAGCCTAACCAATGCCTCTGTTACGCCACCATGATGAGCTCTAGCAACGCCAGACTGCATCAATTACCAAAACAAAGACAAACACACACACACAAAACCTTTTTATCATGGACTCTAGTTGTAATTGATCATTGTGAGTAAGTTGTGCAGTTATTTATTTCTGTCACAATCGTTCAGCCATATTTTTAAAAAACTGTTACCAGAGGCAGACAAACGTTGGACAGCATATGAGGAAGACTAATTAATGGGTTTTCTTAGTAGCAGTATGGTGCCCTAGAGCCACATAAAAGAATACGTTATTCTCTCATTTAACGATATTTTCAAAAATTAGCAGGTTCTTTAACTGGCTGAACAAATCCAAGTATACGTTTAATGCCAAAATTCTCAGATTTACTTATTAGCATATGGTAGTTTAAAAGATTTTTTTTAAGTGGGCATATATTGATGATAAATGTTGGTGTTAGCAATCTCCCAAATGAGTATCATTTGACTTTACATAAATCAACAAAATCAAGCCACTAAATCAACAAAAATGTAAGTGGCCTGTTACATTTTGCATATTATGGTACCAAATCATTCTTGTCACGAAAACGTCCCATTGCAAATTCGAGTTGCATAGTTTCTCATTAAGAAAACAAATATTTAATTTACAAAATTTGTTTTGTTTTGTAAAGGATCCTGTGATGTAATGTCATTACTTTACTAGTTGCTGTGCTTGGGCTGCGGATGACCCCCTCCTGGGCACTGTCTGTAAGCACAGCCCGGGGGGGGGAGGGGGAAGGGGATTGGCGAGTTATGTCTTTGCTGTGCTATATCCTGGAGTAGCAATAACCATTCTTTTCTACTGGCTGGAGGCGTGTGCTCTTGCTGCTATCGGGATTAATTGCTCACACTTTTATACAATTGGGTAATGGGAAGCTCGTCTGGCGAGTTCTATTTTGAATCACTTGGTAGAAATGAAAGTGCTCAGTGATGATTTTCTTCTGTGACAATGTAACTGGATCTGTGGCAATGGGAGACGGTGAGGGAAAGTGAAAAACTTCTACTCTAGGAAAGTTTTTCATAGGTAACAGTAAATCTTGCCAGAAAGCTAAAACATAAAAACTGGCAAGCTCAGCAATCTCATGCATAGGTAGTAAATTGGCTGATGATGCTAAAAAGGAGGGGCAGGGGGAATGGGCCAGATAGGTTGCAAGTTAAGAGATAGGGTCCATAGAGAAAGTGGACGAGTGCTCCAAATGAAATTTGATCTGTTTCAAGAGTGACCACTTGCAGCGTATCCACTAAAACTGGGGACCGATTTTGAGGCTGAGTCACTGTATGTAAGAGTAACAAGTTAGCCAAGACCAGTAACGGCATATTGCAGTCCAGTGATTTCAATTCCCTTTTTTCAGTAGTGGTGAGGACAAATCTGCTCTCTCTCTCGCTCTCCTCATCTTCCCCAAAATAAGATCAGCAAATTGGTCTCAGAGGAAATGTGTGTTAGAGTTACATTTTATTAAAAGAACTGTGGCTGTATTCAATAGCTTGACGCCAGTTTTTTCTATACCAATTCTGTAGTAGAGGTGGAAGTGGACCCAGATTGTCCTAATGTCACTGTAGTGTTGTCGGTCATAGATACGCCTTCGTTACGAACAGTGCTAAATACATTTTTGAAGTACTCACAAGGCGTTAAATACTTTTAAACATGAGACACGTACTCCCACTGACCACGTTCATGGATCAATAGCTTCGCATTTTAGCCTTCAACGTGCAACTACTTCTTCCTCAAGGGTCATTTTTTTTCCTCCAAATGTCCCAGAGCTTGAATTATTCAGGGGTGTGAGACACCAGAATGCCTTTTGAGTCTTGTTTACGAGCACATGCTTCCCGAAAATGCTTCCAGCTGAATAAAACTATCTCAAGATTCTTCAGAACTTGAATGCCCGTTTGAACTGCTACAGTCAATAAATACATACCTAACGTATATTAGCGGTGTTACTAATAAAGCAGAACCCAATTTCAGAAAATTGCCAAATAATGGATTGTGACTTTTCTAGCTCATTTATAGCGTTAACTTTCTGATAATAGAATTAAGCTGCGATAAAGCCGTATGATTTAGCCAATTTTTTTTATTAGTTTGTCATAGGCTAATGATACACAGGTAGTTTATTCTTTCCTTGTACTATAATGACGGATACAGCAAATGTGCGCTGAGCGGTACAGCATGGCCACACTTAAGTGTGCAAAAGCAAAGTGCCTGATAATGCACTCTCCTTAGCACAAGAACGTTTTGGTCATTGTCCTTCCTATAGTGCTACAAAAATTGCCTTAATCTACTGCTTTTTTGTCATATACTCTGTAAGCATCAACATTTTTGCGCCAATGGCCTCTCAGGAAAACCCACATACAACTTTTGACTCCATAGCCTTTTTTATTCATAGCAATTCCTATGTTTTGGCGCCTTGATAGCAGGGTTTATAGTTCTGCATTTTCGCACAGTAAATAAATTTATGAGCGCAAGTCTCGGTAAGTCAATTCTGCTGGATGACGAATTATTTCGTTCTCTACCATAGACACGAATGTGATTCAGTATCCAATAGCAAATCATGTCACCTAAGTAAAATTGTCTTGTGTTATAACACCAACAAAAAAAATCAAAACTCATTTTCTCAGCCTATTAAAAATGTTGAAGCATTAGGGGTTTTTTAAATGAAAATAGTTTTCATAATAGTTTAATTATTATTTTGCAGGGGACTATGTAGTTATGTCAGTTTACTTTGACCTAAGCCGAAGAATGGGTTATTTCACTATCCAGACCTATATCCCCTGCACACTTATTGTTGTGCTGTCCTGGGTCTCCTTCTGGATTAACAAGGATGCTGTTCCTGCCAGAACATCTCTTGGTGAGTTCCTGGGCTATAGTGCGCGATATCTTTCATTGCATTCCCGTATATGGGTTTCGCTGCATGCAAATTTAGAATTCTGTTCTCTGCGGCATATATGAAAGAATTTTATTTGATATTTAGATTCCAATTAGAATATATCGTCAAGCAATAGCTGTGTAACTTAGGCCCCCATTTAGTGTGCTGTGTGTACACACCGCTTGCACACGTCAATACTGTGGCTGCCTGCATACGCGTGACTGTCTAGACTTTTTTAAACTTTCTAACAGCTAGTTGAAAACTTAACCATAGTTTTCTGATAGGCCTTTTTTTTTTTTTTTTTTTTGTCGTAGACTGGTCAAAGAACATTTTTTCTGGCTGGGTTTTCACACAAAACATCCAACGCATTGACATACCGATAGTCTTTGAAATATAATGGTAATTATAGGTCAGAGGGATGACAGATGGTAAAGATTTGTAAATAGCTGCATTCCACTGAGATGTTTCTTAAGTCGCTCTCTGTCCTGTCCCCAATTTCAGCATATCCAATTTTAAAGGATAACGACGTTCCGGATTTTTGCCCCCGACCCCTGTAGTCAAGTCTGGCTAGCTCCCCTAGTCTAGTCAAACCATGGCATGTATTAGAAGTGCATTGAATAGTAATATGCCTTTGTTCAATGTTATTTCCTCATCAGGTATTACAACTGTCCTGACAATGACCACACTCAGTACAATTGCTCGTAAATCGCTCCCCAAAGTCTCTTATGTGACAGCAATGGACCTTTTTGTGTCAGTTTGTTTCATTTTTGTTTTTTCTGCTCTGGTGGAGTATGGCACCCTGCATTATTTTGTCAGCAACAGAAAGCCAAGCAAGGATAAAGACAAAAAGAAGAAAAACCCAGTATGTATGATTTTATAATTGATATTGAAGATGTCATTGCATAAATTTTAATTATGCTTTTATTTTTTTTTACACAGCATTAATAGCCTATTTTCTTTATGCTACTAGATGCTCTATCTAGAAGCATGGGTGATGAAGACAGGAATGCAAACGCACTCAAGGATCTTAAAGTTGTCTGGGACTCTAGAGAGTAATTTTTATTAGTGGAAGGCTCCACCCGAAGTTAAAACTATCACCAAAAAGCATGCGTTCACAAGCTATAGCTAACCATTACCTACTCCTGATACAGTGCTTGTCTGGTTAGAGACAGAGCTGGTTAGCTGTACAAACCAGAGTTACACATTCAGCTATTCCACTATTTAGTGATTATTATCCTCTATGAGATTAATACAATTTTTTTCTCTGGTCGCGTCAATCATGGATGACCCAGTGTTTGAGGCACGACAAAGCTAGTACCAAGAATACAGAGTAGTTTATGTTACAAAGTACAAAATGTATTTCTTGCAAAGCCCTGTGTATTTTTCCATTCCGTCTTGTCTTGTTTTAGTTTACTTACTGTACTGTGTTTTTTTAAAATTCTTTAACCTCAGAAGGTAAGCTGCGTACATGTAAGTGTCACTTGTAAATAGTAAACGTTCCTTATACTAGCCCCAGTGAATGTCATTAGCAATATGTGTGTTGTCCGTGCATTACTGTTAGACTATATGCTTTTTAATGCGGTCCACAATGATCATTTAGCTGCTAAAGAACTCTATTCTGCTAGGGCAACAAAATTTTTTGTAGGCATGTGACGTAAGGCATATGAGACCTTTAAGGTGCATACATACAGAGCGCCAGCAGGCTCGTTTCAACGGAACAATTTGCGCTCCTACCGCCTTCACGCACCTAGCCTCTAGAGGAGAGCCACTTTTCAGTAGCAACGATTAAAAGGACTCGTTGGCTTAATGATCTGCTGTGTTACCAAAAAAAAAAAAGCATTCTGGAGAATTCGCCAATTTCTGATTAAGCACATTAAGAAATGTAACTCATACAGCGCCCTAGACTCTTCGGTCAAATCATTTGAAACTGATGGCTTAACGAATAGTGAATAGATGGAAGTAGGCTTCCCTATTACTTTGACGAACATTGGCGATCTTTTTGCATAGGAGCTACGTTGGCAGTTAGCGTCTAATTTTAAAACGATCTGTGGGACAGCTTTTAAGGCAAACCATGTTCCTGTTTATAATTTACCATTTTTCAAAATTAGTTTCTTTAAGAAGTATTTTTAATTTATATTTTTTTGTCTCTTTTTGTTTCTTTCCCCTGTCTTTAATTTAAATATTCTGATTCTCTTTTCTGTCTACAATACAAAAGCTTCTTCGGATGTTTTCCTTCAAGGTATAACGTTTTACGAATGAAAATATACTGCATGCTAATGCTGAATTCAACTGTTAGTTCTTAATGACACATTAAATAATTATATATTAGATATTCATCATTCTACGCAGAGCACTTTCTTAAATAAGTAGAATGGCTACAGATTTTTTTTAAAAAATTTGTAGAGTTGATTCAGCCTTCTGACCCTTTACTTCTGAATTTGAAATTGAAGATATACCGAGGTTTTCGAATAGCATGAATTAAGGAAACCTAATATGATTTAAAACATCTCTTTATTCATGACTCATGGGAGCCATTGCTACAGGCGTTAGACGATAGCTTCGCCTGTCACTACCCTTTTAGAACTCAACGTTTAACTATTTAAATATTTTGATGTACGCTAAATAGCTATGCTGTAAAAAGCAAAGTAGTCCCAAAAGTGGGCCTGAGAAATACTAATATCTATTGTCTAATATTCAGAGTTTTGAAAGTACAGTCAAAGACCATTATGTAGTGTTGTAATGCAATAGCAAGATAAATGCGGCGTTTAATAGTAATTAGAAAGTTGACAATTGAAAACGGTCTGAAATAAAGACATTAGACTTGAAATAGTCCGTGAAACTTCAATTTTTGAGTGGCATAACAACTTGGGGCAATTGTGAGCAGAACTGTAATCAGGACACTTTATAGTCAGCAGCTTTTCCTAAATATCGTCCGCTGGGCACAGAGCTGGAAAAATGCGTCTAAATTATGAGCAAGTGTAGCTTTCACTAAGAGAGCAAATTGCTTGAGACGGTTAGATAGACTATCCAAATCTCTTGTTTCAGAAGAATCAGATACTATTCCCTTTAAGTACATTGCAAATACATTCCAAGCTCTAAGCCTGGTGCTGAATGAAAATTTCCACTAATAGTATGTTTCGTAATCAGCAACATTTTATTTATACAACTACTTTATAAATACCAATTCACCGTATCACTGTTACATTTCTTATGCTTCCTTTACTAGCTAAACAGTGCTATTTTGCAATAAGACTACTTATAGATTTTTTTAAATGTAGTCATTCGTTCAATAATTGAAAAAATAATGTAGAACGTTCCTATTTACCCATAAATTTTACCATCCCTATGTAGTTGAAAGTACCTTTGGTCTAAATATCATTTAATTATAAAGACTAGAGGGTTTTTTTTGCTGACCCTTAATTTGTCCTTCCTCATGGTAGGCACCCACAATTGATATCCGGCCGCGATCAGCCACTATTCAAATGAACAATGCTACACACCTTCAAGAAAGAGATGAAGAATATGGCTATGAATGTCTCGATGGAAAGGACTGTGCCAGTTTTTTCTGCTGCTTTGAGGATTGCCGAACAGGAGCATGGCGGCATGGACGGATACACATTCGCATTGCAAAAATGGACTCCTATGCCCGCATCTTCTTTCCAACGGCCTTTTGCTTGTTTAACCTGGTGTATTGGGTTTCCTATCTTTATCTTTAAAAGCAGAACGAAAATAGATATGACTTCTTTAAGAGACAGTTGCATTTAGACAAGCATTTATAACACACTCTCTAGTGCCAGTAATCATAGCATATTATTAGCTAAAGCTGCCCTATAAGTATTGTGATTTAAAGCCGCCCTTCGTAAGTGATTTGAAATTAAAAAAAAGTGGAAGCACACACCTGTGATAGCTGTAATAGAAAAACGCGGAAGGTTATGGATTTAATTAGTGGACCTTTTCAGGAGTAAAATACTGTACACTTTGTTAGCCTCTTAGTGTGCTGAGCCGAGATTGGTGTTCTCGGTAAGCTTTTTTTTTTTTTTTTTTGAAAAACAATTACCGTCAAGTAACTTATCATTGGACTATGTAACTTTCCCTCGCTAATAGAAATAGATATTTTGCTATACCTTCACTTAAAAAAAATGTGCACTGTCATAAATATTTGAATTGCTGCTACTATTTAAATTGTCTAGCGCATGCTTTTTCTTTTGACCAAAGAGAGTCTTTCTTGTTCTTTATTTTGTGTCTGTGGATGTGGTATTAGAATGGCCATGTGCATATGTTTTTGTTTTTAGCAGCATTGTTCCCTTCCCTCATGCATGGAATATTGAATCAGACAATGTTAGACATTGGAGCTGCTTAAAGCACTAAGGAAAAAACATCACAGAGAAAGAACAGAATGCATGGGCTATGATTGACTGTGCTCTGGTTTAGCTTCTATTGGCCAATGTTAGCAGTTTTCTGTCTCATTTTCCGATTTTTATACATTTAAAAAAATCTCTTTTTTTTGAACTTCTATTATATTGCGAACCATAAGTATTCGTCTCAAACCCGGTGTTTTGGCGACATATGTTTTGCAGCATGTGTGTTTGTATAGCATCTAGCACTTTAGGCTCTGGGCCCATTAGTAGAGCCCCCTTCCCACACACATACATATACTAACCAAATAGCACGAATACAAAATAAAACACTCCGCAATACATAGCTAATTGCCACACTGTCATTTTTCAGCATTAATGTGCAGACTTCTTTTATACCTCGCTGGCCTGTACTGAACATAAAAAAACTAGTGATGGTCTCACCATTTACTATTAACATTGATCCAATAAATAATTTATGTGTAACCCGCACCCTGTTGACGGTAAACGCCACTGGCCTTCAGACGCTGTAAGATGCTCAATTATGCAAGCGAATTAACATGTAAATAAACTGACCTTTTTTTTTTTTAAATAGCGCAGATATAAAATTTCAGCTCTAGGGCAGTTTGTAGGTTGCAAGCTCCATGTGTGTTATTAATCAATTACTTAAGACACAACTGCACAGTGTTTGTAAAATTTTGACGCTTAGAAATGTAAACAAAGCTATAATTCATCAAGCATTTAAATCCTTTTAATAAAGGAACTACACAGTAGAGGACTTTTTTAATAAAACTGATACATTACATGCTTGAGTCATTTGTTGTTATTGCTGTTAAAATTAGATGAGCACATACAAAAATTTGTCTAGATTGTGATCTAATCAACCCAATAGTACAAACTGTTATACGATTACCTAAGGTATTTGACTTCCTAAGACTTTAAAGTGGATCACGCTTCCATGCATGCTTAAACAAAAAAAAAAATCAATGCTACAGACGTATTCATCCAAGTAAGACTGTTAGTTTGATTCTACAAATGAACGTTGGCGAGGGCGATGAAAGGTGAGTTTTGAGCCGGATGGGTTTCGGGTACAAAAATTTAGGCACTCCCCACTTTGCCAGGTCCTCAATGCAATACATTTCTGAGTTTCAGCCTTTAAACTATTGAGCTGGATAATTACCATAGTTCAGTACAGTTTCTTTCTGGGGTGGCGATGGCATTACCTCAGCCTAAGACAGAGACAAAGCAAAATATTTAACATTAGGACAGGTTAGGCACTGCCTACAAAACCCACTTTGGGACCAGCCCCTGTGCATAAACAACAAAGCAATAGTAATGCTCAACATAGTACATTTTAATCACTTGTTATTTTGGCGAAAACCAAATTTATCATCAATTTTAGCCCCAATCAGCTGAACATATGGTTAATGAAAAATTCACCACTTTATTCTTGGACAAGTGCTAGTTACGCTATTTCTTTGCTTCAGAGGTAACTTCACAGGTTGTCCACAGGCTTTAGGATTGGAGTAACGCAGTCCTGCAAATGCGTACAAAATGCCAAGCAAGACTTGATCTCCTAACTGAATGAACATGTTTCCAACGAGATCCAGCTTTTCACTCGTCTCTTTGGCTTCAGAGATACACTCTCAAGTTACCAAGTGCTCTGTCAGGAACTGTTCATTGCGCCAAAAGATATATGACAACACTTGTACGTCACAATACACTGTGATCTTTCTTGCTAGTATTTCATCTTTATATCCTCATTAGGGACAAGAAATAAGGGTTTCACTTGTAGCAAAGGGAAAGTTAGCAAAGATTGCTAGCAAATAAACCGTCTATTAAGGATAGTTAAGCTTTAAAATAGGCTTCCATTGTGAAATTTCTGATACTGGCGGATCTAAAGCCCAGGTTGGCAACAAACATGTGGAGAATGGTTTTGCTTGGGCCTGACTCAATATATGGACATAGAGGTTTTTTTAAAAATTTGTTTTGATCATTAAGATTGTATTGTCCCAGTGGAATTAGTGCCCCAGAGTATTACTGGGGCCGATGGGTGGTGTAGCTAAGTGTCTTCCTGGGCGACATTAGGCCACATAGTCACACTTTGACTTTCAAATAGACACTAATAGTAAATCGAAGAGCCACCCAACTGTCTTTTCCTGAAGTGCATGCAAGGTTCGTAGAAGTCTTTAAATCTTTTTTTTTATACAGTACCGCTTTAAAAAAAAGGAGTCCAGTACCTACAGTTTTTTTAGCAACACACATTGTTGGTATCTAGAATTATTTTGTTTTCCTCCAACCCATGGGCTGGCCCGTGCAGTTGCTGTGCTCCCTGGCATTGTGTTTGGAAAATCGAGTGCATGCAGTCTATCATGTGTATGCACCCACCGACTTTAGAAATACTGCAACAGGCAATACTGCAATCGTCAGCGTTGCCCTAGGCAGGCACAGGACCATTAATAACACTGTAGTTTTTTTCTACTTCCCAAATGAGTCCCAACTCACTAGTAGAGTTGGGTGCGCTGGTATTGCAAGCTTCCCCAGGGAAGTATCATATACTTCGCAACAATCAGTTCAGGTCTAATTTTTGGTTTTCATACACCTCAGAAGAGACCTTCCCGTCACAAAGGTCTATGAAAGTTTTGCAGCCATTGCTCATAGTCCCAGCTGTGCATGGTTGTCTCACATCACCAGAACTAGTGTACTACTCTGTCAGTAAGACTGACCGTTGGCTTAAAAATCCATTTCCTCAACACACGGGGTCTGTCCGGAGCAGCATAGGGATTCCACATCCGCCTTCATCGCTGCTCCTCATCCTGAAATACCAAGAACCACATTAGTTGCAGCAAGGTAGCGGGCATAAAAATTTGATCCCACGCCACACATTTGCTGCTAAGGCAATGCTGGTAATCATGGCCAAATAGCTGAAAGTCCTAGGGCGATCCAGAGTGAATCCACAGGCTCTCGTTGACTCCAACCTTTATTAAAAATCTTTGCAAAATCTGCTGGGCTGAGTAAAACACAACAGTGCGGCGGCAGCTAAATCCCAGCTGATTACTTTAACAACAACAACAACAACAAAAATCCCTATATCTTCCAGTTGACCACGACTTAAAACAATCCTTTTATGAGAACACTTGCACGTGATATATTTGTTATGCCTTAATCACAACCAATCTGGTCTACTGACTGCTGCTTGCCAGCTCAGTTCTTCCCTTTTGTTCTGACTGCTTGGTGGGCAATAGTCGCAACTTTCATTCCGTCAAGTTCAGAAATAATGAAGTTTGAAAAGCTAAACACAATGATGTGTCTTTTTCTTAAAGTGGTTGCTAGTGGGGCGGGCACCGCTTAGTGTCCTACCACAAATCCTCTATTTCTTGATCTTATGCCTTCTGCTGCAACTCACATCTTTAGAACCTGCTTGCGTCCTAAACGTCTCTGTGCAACTGACAACTGACAGAGGATTAACTGAATATTTGTGACTGGGAATAGTGATGTGTATTTATACTGGGACAAATCGTGTAATATTCCTTTTCCGTGAGCTGTGTTGTCTTGCATGCCTGTCTTACGGACTTTTTGTTGCGGGCAGTATTTATAAATATGATGATGGTCACCATAACGCATTCACATTTGTGTATATGGCTGTAGTTTATTTGTGCTTGATGCTAAGCTGAATATGAGTTCGTTGCGACTAAGCAGAGCTTGCCTAAGCATGTGTTCCAAAATAGCTCATCTGTGTCCTGGATATTTTTCATTATCTGATTTATTCACATGAAGACGTCTTCTGACTAAAAAACAAATCAGCACATTTACTTGCAACTTGCTGTTTGTAGGCCTCTTTTAACAATCCCTAGAATGATAGAGTCCTCGGCCAGAACTGTCGCGCCTGGGCTCCAGTGGTCTGTAAATGAAGAAATTTTATTCACTATGTCAAACTGTTCATGACGATGATAAGGAGATTGCTGACCTGGGATGATGAAATGAATGGTGCTTAGCATAAGCCAGACCCTCATTTTCCACAGTGGGCTAAAATTCTGGATGGTCGAATTTTTGGATTCTTCATTGTAGACATCTGGGGCTAGAAGCAAAGCATGTGAGGTCAAATGTACCCTTGTAGCTGAGAAGGGCTGTTTAGGCTGGACAGTAGGGAAAACTTCCTAACTGTCAGGATAGTGAAATCTCCATTGTTATCGATATTTAAGAGCAGGTTAGTTAGACATCTATCAGGGATGGTCTAGACAGTGCTTTGTCCTTCCATGAGCATATGGTTGGGATGAGTCGAAATTGCTTCATGCGAAATGACCCTTGTAAGGTATCATTGGAAAGTTTGTAATCTATTGAATATCTGTGTGATTCTATTTGTATGCATATAACCCTCTGTATAAGAACTGAAGAATAGTGACAGCAGATTTCTTACCAAAGTGTTCATGTTAGAAAACAAACAAACAAACTCTGTTTCCAGCTCACCAGGAAGAAAAATGAAAAAGCCAGACACTAACAGCGCATTTTCAAA